CAGAATGCAGGAAATGGAAGTGAATATGAAGAGACCACTATTTCCCAAAAATTGTTTCCTAGAACCTGAATGCCAAGGCATGCTCTAATAAAAAAGATTCCACAATCAAGGAGGTTTGGGAAATACCACACACCATACTGGGTGTTAGAGTTTTATTGAGAGTTTTTTATTGGCTTTTCATTCAGATGTTCCTAACAATAAGGGCTAACCTTGCATTAGCAGTGAAAACTTAACTACACTGTCAGTCTGATGTTCTTAATAGGCCATCCTGGAAGGTACTGGGGAGCAGAGTTACAGGGTAGCATGAGTTCAGAGGTGCAGAGAGGAGGGAGACAGGAATATGACAAGTTTCCACATTCTGTCTCCAGTGCAATAGCAGCAGAGGTCTCTGAAAGGCGAGAAAGCTCCCAAAATAGCCTTTGTTAGGGCACGTGCATGTAAAGCCTGGTGCTCCTGGGCAGTACATGCTGTAACACCATCACATATTTGCCAAACCTTATTTGAAATATTCCTGGGCCTTTCTGAAACTTAGCCTCAGCAGCATGGCCCCAAAGCCATGGGTATGAGCAGGCTTGTGAATATCCCAACTTGAATACATTTACACTGCCAGTGGCAAAGGCAGGAAACCACAGAAGCTGACCGGACCTCACTGCTGAAAGGAGTCCTGTGTGCCAGGAGCACAACCCCACTGTTCGCTGACAGTGATTAAGAACAGCCTGGAGGTGGCTGGGCAGCACTGAACCTCTCACCTGCTGAGATGGAGCAGGTGAGACCAGAAGGAACCCTAAGGCTCAAATAACATGTTCGTGGCACTGAGTCATTTACCCAGGACCTCAGGGCTTAGCTGCCTCAGAACAGCTTTTTAAACTCTCTTCATAGATCCTGCAACTGAGCAGTAAGTTTCAGCAGCAGACTGCATTTCAAAGGACCTCTCTTTGCAGAGGAGAGCAGAGGTTATTCACCAGGCAGGCCTTACTCATTTGAAAAGACTGCCATTTTCTCCTCTCTAGCACCTAAACTTGGCAGCAGAGGGTCCGAGCCATATGGACAACTTGCAGAGATTCGGAGGACACCAGAAGTGGCCATAAAATAGATATTCTGAAGCCTTTGCCTCCACAGCTGTAGTTTTCTATCACCTTAGCTTTTCATGGGATGGCTGGTCATTCAGTCACTCCCAGCTGTCGCATTTGTCTCTCAAATTTACTAGGGAGGGAAATGGGCCTGCACAATTCCATTTTCTCCTTGCTAGCCTTCAGATCTATTTACTTTTGAGAATAAATTTATTGGAACAGCACTGTGCACACAGTGACACATTTTTCAGGGACTGTAGTTAGGGGATAAAACAGACACATGCCTATTGCTGCAGAGTGATAAGAACTCATGCTTAGCACGACCCAAGCCATACTGCTTCAGGACCACCAGGGCCAGAAGGTGATTCATGATAAATTTGTGTCCCAAGGCTCCCTGCAAGCTTCAGGGACCTGTCCCATCATAGCCATAGTGGTGGCAAACGAATTCAAATTAGTTTTAATATTCACCTAATAAATACATGTTCCCTCTGTTAAAATGTCATCAAATATCTCCTTATCGCATATACTTAATACACTTTAAACTGTCAGGCAAGAGTTATTTGGGAAATCAAGAGTCAATGAGAAAGCCACAGTGAGAAAGATTTTTGCCCTCTATTTTTATATGAAGCACTTTAATTACTACTTATAAGATAAATTCTAGCCGAAATAAGCAGGCAAAGAGAGGCAACAAAGGGCCAGGTAATTTATTTAAATACCCCTGGGTGAGGTTCTGTGGCCTTCTTGTCACAGGCCAGAGAAGTCACACCTGGTTGGGGAGGTGGGGGGTTTATAAGGGATTAGGAGGGGGAGGAGTGGGCAAGCTATCCTAGGGGGTGTGGAGAGGTATGATTGGCTAAAGGTGACGTAATAGACAACTAGAAACTTTTTTCCTTCCAAGAGGGAGGAGGCTGATATCCGGGTCTTAGTTGGCACATCAGGATGGAATTCAGGGAGAGCTGTCCCCTTTCCATATATGGCACGGACTTTGGGGTCTGGTCTGTTCTCCCCCTATGGCATCTTTCTGTTCTTTTTGCATGTCCTTGTTTTTCCTTTCTCCAGCCTAATACTACTGACATCATTGAAGTTAGTATATACACAGCAAGAAGGGTGTACCCTTGAAATCATTTATCCCCAAAAGACAGAATACTTCTAAAGCAACAAAAGCATAGAAGGGTGAGGAGGCACCTTGAATAAACTTGTGCGTTTACGATTTGTTTTAAAGTTCTACCTGGATGTCCTCCACCCAGGAGCCGAGGAGAGGTTCTCTCCCTTCACTCAAGGTAGCTCACTAACTAGACTACACAGGGCCTAATCCATTCACCTCTTTTATTCCTTTCCTAAATTCCGTTAACACAACTTCAGTCAAGGGTCATGGATGATTTGGGGTTAAGAATAGGCTCCACAAATACACTGTCTGGAAGATAAAATGATGACTTCCATTTTTCCTGCATTTGATTTGAGTATTTTGACTCAAGATTTTTCCTGGGGTTTCTCCATTCAGGGTAGCTTAGAGGGCACACCAACCGCTCATTATTGGGGATGCTGGGTTCAAGCAGCACCGCTGCTGGGGTCCCATGATTCTGCCATCTGGGGTCCCTCATCTCCTCACGGCCTTGGAACTGTTCTCTGGTCAGCTGTTTGCTCAGCTGGGACAGAACTACAGGGCTGAGTCTAAACCGCCCCTCGGCTGATACCTCAGAGCACTCAGCGGAAAAAAACCACTAAGCAGACTGGGCTGGTTCAGCCAGGAAAGTTGTCACTTTACCTTTTTGCTTACTGAGAAGCAGCAGTGCGGGCCCGACGCCAGGCCCTTGCAGCCCAGGGCCCTTTGCGGCCGCGGCGCTTTGGTTGAAATTCGCCTCTTCCGCAGGTTTCCACGGGGCTGCGGGCCCCTCGGGCGCCGGGTGCGGGGCTCCGTCCCCAGAGGGCAGCTCCGGGCCGGTGCGGGAAGCAGCAGAGGGGATCGTGACAAGGGCGCCCGGCTCGGCCTGGCCCCGCCGGCTGGGCGCGCGCTCCTCCGCCCGGGCGCCAGGCTCCTCTCGGATGGCGTCCAGGGCGCCCAGCTTCATCGGGGGCGAGTCCTGCTCCCGCTTGGGGCTCTCCTCTGAGGCTGAGGACGCGTCGCACGACTCGATGATGAGCTCGCTGTCCAGCTCGGCCTCGCGCTCCTCCCTCAGGATGCTGTACTGGATGGACGGCGAGGCCGGCGACGGTGGCGGGCCACCCACGTGGCCGAAGGTCACATAGCCCGAGGGCAGCGCGTCCTCAGCGGCCAGCGGGTCCTCGGACACCAGCTCGATCTCCGAGTCCCCTGACTCCGCGCTGCTGGCCTCATGGTCCAGGGGGCTGGGGATGGTCGGCAGCCCAGCCCTGGCCTTGGCCTCGGACCTGTCAGCCACCTGGCACGCAGGCCGTGGGCTCCCCGTGGTTTCATAGGATAACCCCTTTGCTTCTTTAATTGCAGTGATCAGCTCATCCTCGGAGATGCTGCATTTGCCCTGGGATTCGGCGGCAGATGGTTCTGTCGTTCCACAGCGCGGAAAGGAGCCAGAGAGGCACCCACATGGACAGACAGATGGACAGAAAGAGAAGAAATAACACAAATTCCATTAGGCGAGATATTTTCTCCTTGCTTGAGAAACACATAACTCATTAGCACAAAAATAGTCTGTTTCCAGGCCTATGCTAGAAGACAGGCCACCTGAACTAAAAGGCTAATTACTTGTTCAGCCCAATTAATCAATGTTTTACATACCTATTTATCTTAATCTAGTTATTTTAAAAAGTGACCTAGCAGTTTCTTAGTAATTGCACCTCCCTTGGTTTTTTGTTTCAATGTGGCAGAGATTCTAGATGTCACGGTTTTAATTTCTGATCCATTCTGTCAGGGGAGTTTTCCAATTTCACAGATTCCATCATATCATCTGACCTGGATAACTTCCTGATTTGGCCCACCACTATAAACAAACCTGAAAATCACCCATTACTCCCTGCCTGTTGCTGTTCATGTTCCCTGATTTCAATAAGACAAAGAAAGCTAATTGGGTTCCTTGAATTCAACCTGACTTCTGAGCTTTACATTTCCCATAAGAGTCAATACGTTTACTCTTTTTTAGTGAAAAGTGTAACAAGGTGAGCTATAGAAGACAGTTTTTGCCAATTGCACCAAACAGGCTGTGAAGATTACCATGACACACAATCCTGCAGGGTGTCTAATGGTGGAGGCCACACTGCCATTGTTTTTTCTCCCTTCCGATCCTCTTGAGAAGAACAAAATTCCAGTGACCCCAGGTCCCTTGGGGGAATGTCTGCCTTCTGTCTCATGTTTATCCAGATGGCATGAAATCCTCACCAGCAATCTTGCTGTTACTTCTCTCCCTGGATGAGACTACCTGGGGTCACCATGACAACAGCTTTCAGGAGCTTGATGTCTTCCTTGCCACACAGCAGGGCCTTGTTTAGAATATCCTGTTCTCTGGCCCTTTTGTAAGCAAGAAGTATTTGTCATTTCCAAAGTTTTGAGGTCAGTGGGAGGGATTTAGAAAGGGGAAGGGACGGACTATCTATGGCTAGGTAATCTGCTTTAGGGTTGTGAGGATGAAACATTTTAGATTTGTCTACTTCTCCATAAAGAAGAACTAATTTTATCCTTTGTCCATACACAATTCATTCTTCATTAATTGAGAACATGCTATGTGTCAGGCTCTCTTCTAGGCACTGGGGATATATTAGTGAACAAAATGGGTAACAAAAGCTCTGCTTATATTCTGGTGGGAGAATACAATACACAAATAATGTATGTAATAAGTTAAGTATATAGCATGTTAGAAGATGTTAAGTGCTATGATAAAAAAAGCAGAGTAAGGTAATGGGACCAGAAGTGCTGGTACAGGGTGGGGATGAGCTTGCAACTTTAAATAGGATAGGCAGGATGGGCCTCTTTCAGAGGGTAACCTGTATAGAACACCTGAGGAACAGGGAGTCTCAAGAAGATAACCAGAGGAAAAGCTTGCCAAGCAGAGGGAACAGAGACTGCAAAGGCCTGGAGGTGGAAGCTACAGTGACTTCCAGGTATCACAGTTATGCCTGGAGTAAATTGGATAGGGGAAGAATAATAGGAAAAGAGGCCAAAGACATGCAGGAAGGGGAGTCAGATCATGTAGGATCTCATGGGGTTTTTATTCTGAGTAAAATGAGAAGCCATGGGAGGGTTTTGAGCAGAAAAGTAATATGATCTATGTTGTTGATGTTTCAGTAACTTAAAACAACAATCACTTCATTATTTCTCACATGATTTATATTTAGAAATACTTGTTGCATGAGAGTAAACCCTATTTTTATAGCAGTTAATCCCTTAATAAGTTGTGCACATAGTTCTCTGATGTGATTTTACAGAGCATACAGGTGTAAAATCTACACCAGCTTACTTTAGAATGGCAGGCCAGAGTGAGGAGGAAGAAGGGAAATAAGGCTGGTGTAACTGAAGGAATGGCCTGTATTCAGAGCACCATCAGTAGCAGCATCGCCACAGCCCCCTTGAGCATCTGCTGGGCTACAGGCACTTTGCCCTACATGGGGCTTAAAGTCTAGAGGCAATAGGCTAAATGACTTGTCCAAGGTCACTGTACTGGTTTTTCTATCTTTGCCCCCTTGGATTCATTCCCATCTTTCTTTGCCTTGGTCTGTACTATGAGGACTGACCTACATAGAACGCATTACCTGAACCCCTTCCCCTCTGGTTTCTGGTTCTTTTTCAGCCCCTCAGAATCATGGAAAGAGTGGGAGGGGGGAAATGTTGGGGTATTAATACTTTTGCTGTTTCTGAAGCTCCACATCTTGGCAGCCTTTGGGACTGCTATTCCCTCCCCTTGCTCCTTTAGATCTGGGGGTGCTAATGGATCCCTCATGTTGCCAGTCCTTGAGTGTTTTGCCATCTTTTGTTGGTTCTCATAACTGTCTTTACTCAGCTGTAAAGAGCCCCTTCTTTAAACTGTCTTGAGTTACAACCTTTGAGTGTGTCATTTGTTTCCTGCCAGGACCCTGAAAGATATAGCCATGTGGCTAGAAATGACTTGGCTTGAATTTGAACTCAAGTCTTTCTGTTTCATGTGTCTCTCACTATATTAGGATAGCTCTGTTTAAAAAGGGTGGAGTCTGAGATGGTGCAGATTATATTTTGGAGAATGAGAAGAAGAGGAAAAGTGAAATGAATAACCACATGCAAAAGAGGAAGATGGATCTCTACCTTATGTCATATATAAAAATCAACTCCAAATGGGTCAACAAACTAAATATTCTTATATTTAAAACCATAAAACTCTAGAAGAAAAGACAGACATGGATATTTGTGACCCGGAATTAGACAATGATTTCTTTTATACAACACCAAAAGCACAAGCAACAAAATAAAAATTTTATAAATTGGGCTTCATCAAAAGTAAACACTTTTGTGCCTCAGAGGACACCATCAAAAAAGTGTAAGCACAATCCACAGAATGGGAGAAAATTTTATAAGTCACGTAAATGACTTGTATCTTGAATATATTAAAAACGATTACAACTCAATAAAAGACAAGCAACCCAGTTAAAAAATAGGTGAAGGATTTGAATAGACAGTTCTCCAAAAATTTATGAATGACCACAAAGCATATGAAAATATGTTCAACATCATTTTTTACCAGAGAAATGCAAATTAAAAAACAGTAAGATACCACTTCACAGTCACTAGAATGGCTAGAATCATGAAGTCAGATAGTAGTGAATGTTGGAAAACATATGGAAAAGTTGGAAAGGAACCTTCTTACACTGCTGGTGGGAATATAAAATGGTATAGTTGTTTTGGAAAATAGTCTAGCAGTTCCTCAAATTAAACATAGAGTTACCATATGACCCAGCAATTCCACTCTTATGTATCTATCCAAGAGAAATGAAAAACAATGTCCATAAAAATACTTGTACACAAATGCTCATAATAGCATTATTCATAACAGCCAAAAAAAATGGAAACAACCCAACGTTCATCAATTGATGAATGGATAAATAAAACGTGGCACATCCATACAATGGAATACTAATTGGCCACATAAAGAAATGAAGTACTAATACATACTACAACATGGCTAAACTTTGAAAACAGTATGCTAAGTAAAATAAGCCAGTCACAAAGGACCACACAGAATATGATTCCATTTATACAAAATGTCCAGAAGAGGCAACTCTATAGAGAAAGAAGGTACATTAATGGTTGCCTGGGAGGAGTATGAAAGGAATGAGGTGATGACAGCTAATGGGCACTGGATTTCTTTAGGGAGGTAATGAAATGTTTTATAACTTACTGTGGTGATAGATATACAATTCTATGAATATAGTAAGCCATTAAAATGTATACTTTTAATGGGTGGATTAAATGGGATGTGATTAGATCTCAATAAAGCTGTTTTTAAAAATAAAAGACAGCGATGGAGGGAGGCTCTTTCCTTGGACCAGCATTTATACAAGTGCCTTATCTGCATTAGACTATAGTATGTGTGAGAAGTAACTTTAATTATGTTAAGACACAGAGATTTGGGGATTTATCTGAATTAATTTATCTGAACAAATGGGGTGTTGATGGTCACTCAGAAACAGTGAGCATGGTTAAGTAAAATGAACAGGAACTCCATACCCAAGAGCATGGAAGTCAGAAGAGTGAACTGTTTTTTTCATTTTTGTTTTTGTTTTATTAATTAATTAATTTTTAATTAAGGTATCATTGAATACAATTCTACCCTAACTGCTCACCCAAGCTTACTGATAAGATTCCAGCTCATATTCTCTGTCTCTCCTGAAGAACAAGAAGAAAACAAGACAGAATGGGCTAAGTACAAATGTATATATAGTTCAAAGTTCTAGAGGAACTTAGAGGAGATCATTGAGCAAATTGCATCTGAATTAGTCTCAGGATGCAAATAGAGCCTTGGAAGCCAGACTTTGTCTAAGGAGAGTGAACTCGGAGCAAAGACATGGATGTGGGAAGGAAGGGGTGTGCTCAGAGTGACAAGCTCAGAAGTTTAACTGGAGTACTGTGGAGGCCATAGAGGACAGTGTGACTGCAAAGTCAAGCAGGCCCCTCATCATGGAAGTCCTGGGAAACTAGTTTAAAAGTCAATACTTTCACAGGTAGGCACTGGTGGGTCCTGGAAGGGCTAGAGGGAACTTGGGTGAGAAGAGAGTGGAGGAGGATACTCCATTAAGACGACAATGCAATGGTGAGGGGAAGAGTTAAGACAACCGAATAAGTTATGGTGACTGTACATACATGTTAAAAAGAAACACATAGGAGATTAAAGATGGTGGTGTGAGAGGAGAGACAGAGGCTTCCTCCTAAAACTGGATACAATTAGAAAATTTAATTGGCACAACTAATCCTAA